AAAAAAAACAATCGTTTATCTCATCGTCGCCTCATTCGTTCTTCCCATTTCTCCGAATTCAAAACTAATCAACCAATTGATCGGAATGGGTGTGATGGCCGTCGGTCTGTAGAAGAAGTGTCGGTTCCAAAGTAACTTCTAAAAAGAAGTGTAGAAATAAGCTATGTAGCTTAGCTCAGGCTCAAAATAGGCAGGCCACTATAAGTAGGTAGCTCAAGTCGCAGCTTTTACGGAAATTACAAATAAGGTTGGTGCAAAAGTCTTTGCAATCTTTTTTGTCTTTCCTTCTCGAACTCTCTAGGCCGTCCTCCGACCGGCTGATGTATGCTTTTGTTTACTTCAACCCTTGATCATTCAACCCTGACAACACGAAATGCAATACTGCTGAATTCTTTTATAGATTTGGGCTTACTTTGAAACTACCGAAAATCTACCCACGGGATATTTTCGACATGTCATTCTATTTTACTTTAAATAACACGCAAATGCCCCTTCGCTAAAAGAAATTATCGATCTTTACGGGTAAGGATCGGCGACTATGGAAACCATCTACAATTGGTATCAACGCTTCCAAAAGAGCGACTTCTCTCTTGAAGATCAGGGCGACCGACTGGTCTTGAAGAATCTGGATCGTACCGCGGTTTACCATCATCATCAATCTATAGGCTATAAATTAAAATTCGGGTCGTGGGTCGCACATGAACTGACTGATGTGATGAAATGGAAGAGGCTATCTGTAACGGCCGCTCTACTCTCGCGTTATCACCTTTGATTTTTTTCGTGGCATTTTTTTTCGTGACATGCGTGGGCTGAGAACGCGTTCCATTTCGAATTGTTTTCTTCAATTTAGCGCTGAATTTCCGCGGGATTGATAACATTTTTGTGTTCTTTCGAGCTCGATTTTCAGCTCTTTTTTGGAAACTAATCAGCTCGGTAGTTGAGTGTTCGAATTCTTATGCTTCTTGCCAACTTCATTTGTTGCTGCTCTTCAAAATTTGTTGATTACACATTTTAACAGAGCATCTCCCCTATCATCAAGTTCCAAATCTTTCTTACTGAGCTTTCTGTTATATGGTTTTAGGTATGTGAATCTTGAGAATTCTTGCGAATCCAGCTCGCCAATTTTGTTGTGTGTATTGTCTTAGCTTCAGACAACTATCACTTTGAATCTGTGATTTGGTGTCTTGATAATCGTGTTAGATTTATTCAAGAAGTTTCAATCAAACCCGACCCTTGGCCCTTCTCTCTTAACCCATTGACCAACATCCAATTTTTCTTCATGAGAGAGGTGTTAATTTTAACTCACACAGCAAACTTCAAAACGAGCTTCCCTTCTCTCCTTCCTATCTCCACAGCCCAATTGCAGAATCTCTTCAAACATACTTCTTCTGAGCATATCCCCATCTTTTAAAACCTTATCTCTGCTCGGAACCTCTCCCTTTTCCTCATCGCAATGAACAACTTCCCCTCCTTAAATTAACATTCACAATTGTTTCTGACGCATCATTTAATATTTTAGGAGTCATATCGTTCACCAAAGCAAACATCTGTCGCATTCGTAACAATGGGGTTTCTACGGATTCTTCTACTGGTTTGAATTAAATGAATCCTGTAACTAAAACCGAATTCCAGACTCTCTGTCTACTGGCCTTTTCCCATCTCGTTGAGGGATTACGGTAAACTTAGAGTTATATCGATTGGGCTGACAATAAGAGATTTTTCCGTGGCGGTGGCCGAATCAGTGTGCCGCGAGGTAGGGTGGATCGCCCGGCCAAAGTTCCAAGACTCGAAAGAAAACTCAGGTGTTTGGTCATTTGAAGTCACTCAAAACACCCAATTTCAGTCAGCCGAAACCCTTCCAATTGCCCATTCCGGATAAGGGAACTTATCATCGGCAGTTAGTGTCTTAATGCCTTTAAAAGTCAATCTGAGAATGTTCAGTGAGTACAAGACGCTGATCAACGTTCAACCAAGACGACATAGCTACGATCCCGGATATCGACAGAATCATGATCAATATGTGTAGTGTCAAACAAACAACAAGAAATAGTAGTTCATTGCTTTCTAGATCAAAATACACTCGCAAAGAAGGATACAACTCGATTCACTACCCGGCAATCAATGAGTGAGTGATTTGAAGAATCTGGCTCAAAAACCCAAGACTCACAGAAAGCCATCTGCTCATCTTTTGCCTCCACGTGCCAACGACTACACGGCTCCCAGAAATCCCCTCGAGAAATTGTGAGTCGATCCGTGAAATTACATGAATGTTTCGACCATTTGCAGAGTGATCAAACCAACTTTTGCCGATCATCTCAAGAAGAATCCTGCTCCAATTGACATGGCAGAGTCTCAACGGATGGCCAGCGAACCTTCAAGAATAGTGACATCGAGTACAGCCGTCAACTGCCCGAGAATCCTGGATATCGATACGTGAACAGCCGTCAACAGCCGTCAACTGCCCGAGAATCCTGGATATCGATACGTGAACTTGTTCAGTGAGAATGTTCAGTGAGTACAAGACGCTGATCAACGTTCAACCAAGACGACATAGCTACGATCCCGGATATCGACAGAATCATGATCAATATGTGTAGTGTCAAACAAACAACAAGAAATAGTAGTTCATTGCTTTCTAGATCAAAATACACTCGCAAAGAAGGATACAACTCGATTCACTACCCGGCAATCAATGAGTGAGTGATTTGAAGAATCTGGCTCAAAAACCCAAGACTCACAGAAAGCCATCTGCTCATCTTTTGCCTCCACGTGCCAACGACTACACGGCTCCCAGAAATCCCCTCGAGAAATTGTGAGTCGATCCGTGAAATTACATGAATGTTTCGACCATTTGCAGAGTGATCAAACCAACTTTTGCCGATCATCTCAAGAAGAATCCTGCTCCAATTGACATGGCAGAGTCTCAACGGATGGCCAGCGAACCTTCAAGAATAGTGACATCGAGTACAGCCGTCAACTGCCCGAGAATCCTGGATATCGATACGTGAGGTTTGTTTGAATGTTGGAAAGCTTTAGCCTACCTATTCAATCTAGTCGTCTATCGGGCTCCGGACATCGTGACGATCGCATTGAGGGTTTCGGATTCAAAGCGGATGGTCGTCCTGTTGTGATGCCCGTCAAGTCCGAGCACATCTATCGACATTCGGATTTGGGGACACGGGGACAAGCATCGCTTCAGTGAGTTCTCCAATTCTTTTAACCAGGGGGCAAAGCACACCATCGTTCGCTTTGCCCACTGGCTGGTTCGAAGTCCCGTGAAAGTCTGGAGATCGTAGCATACAAGATCATTTAAGCAATTTTTCAAGAGGGCGATTCAGGAAATGCTTGCCAATATGTTTTTATGACGAAAAAGAGGTAAAATAATGCGATGAAGAAAGGGGCGTTGAGCTAGTATCACCCAAATAAAAAAGGTGAAAAAAGGTGCAAGCTTTAGCGCCGAAAATTTTCAGGAAGCACCGTTATCAGTATTTTATTTCAAAAAATGTAGAAGTTCATTATTTAGCTGAATATCTTTAATTTACTTCTAGCGGTTTAAAAGAGTTCAGTCGAGCAATTATTTTATTTTTCGCGTGCTCTTGGATCAGCCAATCTTACATTTTTTCTATTTCTGCCACCCGTTCTCTTCTCTCGTGCAAAAACCACAATGTCCCTTCATAAAGCGCCTAGTTAGATGCCTGTCCTGTATTCGAATCCTTTTCTTCCAAAAATTATTCCGTAAAACCATTCTTTTTGTTTACGAGGACGCCTTCCCGCGTCAATCTTGCTCTTTTTAACGTTTTATCTACTCAAATTCGTTTTTAATTTTGTTTTCAGAGCATGTCTGTTCAACCAGTCAACCCAAAGCCGTTTCTCAATGGACTCGCCGGAAAGCCAGTTGTGTGCAGATTGTAGTGGGGAATGGAATATCGAGGCGTCCTCATCTCGGTCGACGGTTACATGAATGTCCAGGCGGGGATGTCTTTGTGTGAAGTTTTTATGGCATAGCTTAAAGCTAGTTTGGAGAGGTACGTCCTGAATTTTGTTAGTTTTTATGTCGCTTGTGAACAGTCAGATATATGGCGAGTGGGCTTGCTTAGGCCTAGGCATCCACAAATAAATTTTTTTTCTTTTAGATGGCTAACGCGGAGGAATACATTGATGGAACAAACACTGGAGCTTTGGGAGAAATGTTAATAAGGTGATTAGTGCGACTTTTGTCTAATTTGTTTAAATCTAGGTGCAACAACATCCTCTACATCGGAGGCGCCGAAGACTCGGAAGGTTGATCGCCTAGTTTTCATTATTTATCATTTTGCTAACTTGTTGAGTGTGTAACGTGATTATTGATCGCTTCCGTATTTTCATGAATAAAGTTTAATTTGTTGAGTTAATATATTAACGGTTCATGGTGCATGAATCAAACGCAATGCCTATAAACTAGAAAGTTTGCATGTGAACTAAAAGGAAATGTTGTTACTGTTGTGTGAGGCACTTATCAGAACTCAGTTTTATGGCAATGAAACATTCAACAATGAAATGATGATGATGACGAAACAAGAACGTTCACCAGAAAGACGCAGAGGTGGCGACCGCTCACCGAAAAGGCGGAGACGGTTAGTTTTAAAGATGGTCTTGGTTTACAGCTGATTTAGGTCACCATCTCCTAAACGTAAAGCTTCTCCAGAAAGGCGAAGACGGTAATAGAGCTTTGCTGCTTTTTTCATGAAAATTATTTAGATCTCGATCACCAAAGCGTCATGCCAGTCCTGAAACGGTTAGTTTAACCTGGGTTGCATTCAGTATTAGTGATTTAGGTCGCTAACGTCAAAACGTGCTCGACGTGAAGAATCACCAGAAAAGGCAAAAGAAAATGAAGCTCCTCAAAAAGTATACAAGAAAACTTTGTTGAAGTAAATACATTTTAGGAAAAGAAAGAGCCTGTTGATTTAATGCGTTCTCGCACTTGAGGGGCATACATCCCACCAGCGAAGTTGAAGTTGATGCAAGAACAAATTCAGGTAATGCATCAAATGGTAACGTGGCCACAGAAAAAAATTAGGATAAAGCGGGTGAGCAACTTCAACGATTGAATTGGGAGCGTCTGAAGAAAAAGATCCACGGTCTCGTCAATAAAGTCAACGCCAGCAATCTTGTCGGAATTGTGCGAGAGCTTCTTCCAGAAAACATTATCCGTGGAAAGTTTGTTTTTTTTCTCAGCATTTTCTCAAGTAAACAAAATTTTAGGGGTTTGCTGACTGGATCGATAATTCAAGCACAAGTCTTTTCTCCAACATTTTCACATGGTGACGCTGATGGAATGAATGATTCCAAGTTTGCTGTTATTGGTGAATTGACACTTAGTATGTTTCACAGTTTTAGGCTTTAGAAATTATGTATTCAGGCTTTTGATTGTGCAGTTCAAGCGATATTCTCGTCGAAACGACAAAGCAACAACGGTGACTGTCAGTAAATTTCTCGCACATTTGATCAAGTGGTATGCTTTTTTTGAATATGAATTCGCTGCATATTTAGGCTCACGAGCTGCTTGCTCTTGAGATCATGCTTTTGATGCTTAAAACACCAACGGAAGATTCAGTGGAAGGGTGTATTGCTTTTCTGGAAGAATGTGGCGCGAAACTGACAGAGGTTTGCTTTATTTAGGAACGCTTATTGAGAAATGATTTGTTAGATTGCCCCGCGTGCCTTGGACAATGTTTTCTCAAGACTTCGAAACATTCTGGCTGAGGCGCAATTGGATTCACGTATTCGTTATATGATTGAAACTGCAATGGCAATTCGGAGAGATAAATTTGCGGTCTTTTTTTTAGTTCTATTGCCTGGCAAAGTTTGTTCTTTAAAGACTACCCAGCTTTAATTGATGAACTCGATCTTATTTCGGAAGAGGACCAAATTACACGTACCCTTTCCCTTGAAGATGGTACCGATCCTGAAAATATGCTTAAGGTAAATAATATAAAAGAGCCACATTTTTTTTTTCGTTTTAGCCGGAACTCATTCACATGTTCGTAGATTGTTGTGCACAGCAACGTACTTATGAAAGGTTTTATGGACTTCTCTGCGAGCGTTTTTGTCGGCTGAAATGTGAGTTTGAAGTTAGTTTTAAAAGTATATGACCATTTTTTTTATTTTAGACTACTTTTGAGACGATATTTCGTGAGACTTATCAAACTATCCATCGCTTTGATATTACGAAACTGAGGAATGTGGCTCGTTTAATCAGTCATTTGCTTTTCACAGATGCCATTACTTGGGATGTAAGTCTTTATGCGAATATTTACTTTTTCTTATCCATATTTAAAGTGTTCAAATTTAGGTTTTGAGCGAAATCGATCTGAACGAGAATGAGACAACTTCTTCCGGCAGCATCTGCATCAAAACCATTTTTCTTGAATTGGCTCAAATGATGGAACTTCCAAAGCTGTATGAAAGAATCTGTGATCCGTAAGTTTAGAGATTTTCTAGAGTTCATTAATCTTTAGTACATTGCAAAATGCGTTTCAGGGACTTTTTCCTCGGGACAACCCAGCCAATACTAGCTTCGCCATCAATTTCTTCACATTAATCGGTCTTGGTGGACTGACGTAAGAAAGATTTGAGAAAGCTAATAAGGGTATAAATTTTAGGGTGGATCTTCGCGAGTTTTTGGGAAAAGGCGGAAAGAGGCAGAAAAGAAGGCACAGTTTTGTTAAGAATTCTTCAAGAATGCTTCATGATTCCTCAAGATTGAAAGGCCAATGATTTTTTTTAATTTCCTTGGAAATGGAAAAGCTCTTGGAGCAGAGGAAAGCCACCGATCTCAACACAAATGTTTGCTTCTCCGAAAATGGGACAGAATCTGTATCGAAAGTTCTGGGGGAGTCGATCGAAATCATTTGATAATCCCTTTCGAGGAGCACAACAAATACGGACGATTGGAGAATCAATTCCTGTTCTCAACGAACACCATTACGGCTCATCGTTCCAAAAAAATCGTCACATTGAGCCGTTTCAAACTCAAATTCCGTGTCATTTGTAAATCGGGCATTTGGTTGGAGTAATTAATTCCAAAATTCCTGTTATTGGTGAATTGACACACTTAATGTATGCTGTCATATGCTGTCAACAAGTGGTATGCTGTTTTTCTTTGAATATGGATTCGATGCATATTTAGGCTCACGAGTTGCTTTCTCTTGAGCTCATGCTTTTGATGCTTAAAACACCAACGGAAGATTCAGTGGAAGTGTGTATTGCTTTTCTGAAAGAATGTATCGCGAAACTGACAGAGGTTTGCTTTATTTAGGAACGCTTATTGAGAAATGATTTGTTAGATTGCCCCGCGTGCCTTGGACAATGTTTTCTCAAGACTTCGAAACATTCTGGCTGAGGCGCAATTGGATTCACGTATTCGTTATATGATTGAAACTGCAATGGCAATTCGGAGAGATAAATTTGCGGTCTTTTTTTTAGTTCTATTGCCTGGCAAAGTTTGTTCTTTAAAGACTACCCAGCTTTAATTGATGAACTCGATCTTATTTCGGAAGAGGACCAAATTACACATACCCTTTCCCTTGAAGATGGTACCGATCCTTATTTCTATCAAAGAACTATGAGTCAAAAGAATCATTTCTTCATAAACAGCCTTCCGACAATGGCAGAAAGAATCATTATTTTCTATTTATTTATTTATCTCTTTCAATAAGAAAAATCCATCGAAGCCTTCCAAATGTCGAAGCCATCCAGATCCAGGTCCACAACACTGTTATCCTCGCTGGGAAACCCCAAAGGTTTAAGAATCAATTTTTGAGTTTGATCAATCACCGGCTCAAATGCGTATTTCTGGGAACTCTAAAATATAAATTGATGGTTCGCTGAATTCTTTGACCTTTATGCTATCCACAATCTTCGGGTAGACTTCCTCTACAGTAGGTCGATCCGATGGATCAATTTGCATACATCTAAATATGTAATGTCCTATGTCAGGGCTAGGATGTGGACATGTGCATTTTTGGGCATGACTGTCGATAGGCGTACAACGGAAAAGCGACTTTTAGCCCCTTTAAACTCAACTTTTCCGAAAAATCTTTGACTAGAAGATGGATTTTTCGATGCTCAATGATAGACAATCACGCCGAAAATGCACATACAGTACTGGACAATGAAATATCATCTTTGAAAAAAGATCGTCACTTTCGCGCGTCTGTAACTCTCTTGTCTTTGAGTTTAAACTATTAGTGTTATACATTTTCTGAAAGCTCTTTTCAAGGGCTACATAATGGCAATATTAATCTTTAGAAATACGGTAAAGACAAGGGAGTTACAGACGCGTGAAAGTGACGATCTTTTTTCAAATATGATATTTCATTGTCCAGTAGTGTAGCTACTCGGATGTATGAAAAAGTGGTACTTTACGGACAACGGGGGAGCGCAGCCTTCTTTTCAACTTTTCAAACAAAATTTCGTTTACTCAAGCACTAAGCTGAATACTTTTTAATCGCGTCTCAAAGTACCGTAATTTCAATCACGAATCGTGTCTATAAAAGCACGCTCGCGCTAGAAAATTACTCACTTCTCTCATTGTCCCCAAAGCGACTCGGCTATTGTTCTCTAGATCTGTGTTAATATTATCTTTCTATCCCTCTATTACTTTTAATTTTTAGGTGATGCCTACTTACAAGAATGATCTGCCCGGAGACACCATGTCGTTGAAATCCAAGCAAAAAGCAGTCCTTCATTGGGAGTGCTGTCTTTGCTCATAGAATAAAGCGACCACAAAAGGCTCAACCAAAGGAAGCAGAGATGGGAATTGCTTAATGGCGAGCCGTCTTCCTGTACTGTCTATTGTGAATTTCTTCGTCTCTGGGCGGACAATCAAACGTTGATCAAATACGTGAAGCAGAAGCTCAAAATAGACAAGGAGAGGATCGTCGAGTGGAACAGCATCTCTCTCGCCGGACCTCTTCACCCGCTACTCGTGGATCAAAGAGATTTTGGATTTGGACTAAGAAATCCGCTTAGCTACACGTAATTCTTCGCAAACGTCGCCGAGAACATCACGAGGCAAATGAATGGGGAATTTCGAATCAAATCCATTTTGATTGTATTCCATATCCATATCTAATAGATTTTCCTTTCTTCTTCTTGAAATTATTCTAGTTTCTCAAATGGAACCATTATTTCTATCAAAGCACTATCACTCAAACGAATCATTCTTTGACAAAGAGCCTCTCGAAAACGGCTGAAAGAATTATCCCTTTCTATTTATTTAAATCTTTCTATAAGAAAAATTCAACCTTCAGTCCGATCCAGAACAAATAATCCGAATTCACACCCTTCGCTGAAATAAATATCGATTGTTTTTGGTTTATAAAGCATAAATTTCTACGGAAATCATGAATTTTCAGAATTGAATCATTTCGATTTCTTACCGAGTTTCTGAACAAAATCGTTCTCTTCCCTGACTGTGAATTGAGATGGCTCTTTTGGCTCTTTCGACTGGCTCTTTCGACTCGCATAATATGCCTCAGCTTCATCAAATGTCATTTCCGGATCAATAACCTTGAGATGAAGACATTCCGCAAATATGACTGAATGTGACTAATAAGTACAATAATTTGGATTGGCTTGGAACAAACACAAGAAAGTACAGATTTCCTTGTCTATTTCAATAGTTAAGTTCTAGCAATAATTGTATTCGAAGCGTTAGTGGGGAATGGCCAGTTGCCTATCATGAAACAACGGTGCAAAACGCGGCGCCGATTTTGATTGAAGGACTGCGAGTGGTATGACGGGTAACTAAAGTCCTAAAGAAAACTGTGGTCCAGGAAAAAACAAAACGCAAAGTACATGGCCTAGGAATCTACTGCACTCCCGATCCAGGAAGGGCTCTCGATTACGCGACAAAGCAAAAGCACACTGATAGGAACTACTACAAGCTTTTCTTTCAGGTGATTGAACTGTACACTGAAAGAAATTATGGACTCAATGATTTATAAATATCTCTAGGCTCGAGTCGACCTTGATAGGAGAACGATTAAGGATGTGCAAAGCATGGAGTACCTGGTCACGCCGACTACTGGCTATGACCGACAGTGACCTGATTCGATCCTATGGGGTCTGTATCTTCCGATGTTGAGAGTTAACTGAAGAACCATAACCATAAATACTCATAACCTTCACAATAAGAAGCTTCCACAATTCAGGAAAAGCAGTGTCTTCGACTGAAAGAGCAAAATTTCGACAAAACGATAAGTCTCGTGGTTTTTTCTTTACATGTTTTAAAAATGTCAAAAATTATAGATGATCTGGGACATGACATTCCTGTGATGCTGCAGGGTCCGCAATGATGAAAGAGAGTCTCTTCCGGGACAATTCTTCAATATAACAATAACAATACTAGACGTCTTATAAAAGAGCATTTTTTGATGAATAAATCGCTAGGAACTTCGGAAGAGAAGGCAATTCGAGAAAAAATTCAGGTTCTAGCCGAAAAAGATGAAAACGATGAGCTCGGCTTGATCTGGATGTAAGTGTATAGTGTTTTAGAGCATTAGCTCTTACCAAAGATAAGTTTACTTTCAAATATGGTAGTCTTACTTTTGTAGCTTCAACAAACCGAGGAAGAACGATGAGGACGAGGACGACGACGAGGATCCATTCATCAAGCCACAATCAATTTCACTTTTGGCTCAATTTACGTTCAAAGGACCGAAGGACGGTCGATTATCACTTTTTCAATCCAACCGATCTGGAATATAAATTGGCCAAGAAGGTAGCGTTTCGAGATCAATTCAATTCATTTTCCACAAATTAGATGCTTGCAATGATAGATTCGAAATTAACCACTCCAAGTGTTTGTAAGTATCTTATGAAAGAGCTGGTGGGTTCAATTGGACACCAATGTAAACTTAAAGAATCTAGACTCCACCTATTCAAATGCATATCAATTCTTTGGTTGGCAAATGAAAACTCGGTTAAAAACTAGCAAGTGAGGTGTTACACTTGTTGAAAGACAAAGATGGGTATTCAAAGTTAAATAATAAAACAAAATTAAAAATTTGAAAAAATTTGAGCATGAATGGAAGGCTGAGCTTTGTTATTTGCACAAAAGTTAGGCTTATTCTGGAAAAAGGTGAAATCATCAGGGAAACCCGAAATTATCGATATTTATTCATTTATTTATTTCCAATGCATAGTTAATTCAAACATCTTTCTATCAATCAGCGTAAGTTTCTTTTCTTTCCTTTTCTTCAGAAATGAACACATTTCAGTTCTGGAAAAGTAAAGTAAAGGCATTACCGTGGGGAAAACCCACTAAACAAGTTCTCTAATCCTGGTAGTCTGAATATTGGTAAATTATAGAGGAAATCCGAGTGTTCTCATTCTATTTCTTGCCCCAAATCATTGTTGTTTTGTAGAAGTTTTCGTTTCCGGTTTTCGGTTAACAACTGATGACTAAACGAATCGGGCATTCCCCCCCTCCTTTCCCTTTATTTTCCGCGATAAGATATCCCTATTTTGCTTGGCAACAAATTTCTTTTTTGATTTTGTCTTCTCTCATCAATTCTGCCTCTTTAGTATCTGTTTCATTTAATTTTCACTTGTTCTTCAAGGAAATTCAGTCATCTTGTAGGCATCCAATCGTCTAGCAACCGAAATGGACAATCTCTCGAATCCCCCACGCGAAGCCGATCTGTGGTTTTTTCGCCAAATCTTTGCTTCTATCAAAAACGGCCTTTAATTTAATTGAAGAGTTTAGAGAAGAAATGAAAAAGGAGATGAGTCAATTGACAGCAAAAATGGCTCAAATCAAGGCGTATTTAATGGGGGAAAATGCGAAGTTGGAGGCCGATTTGGTTGACGGAGGGGAGAGAAATCGAGAATTGGAAAGGAAAATCGCCGAGACCTTAAAGAAAAACGAAGATCTCGAAGCACAATTGTACTAATTCTGTAATTTTCTTTTCTGACAAGCTCAAAGTAAAATAGAGATAAAATTCGAACTTTTTTAGAAGAGCTCGAAATACGGAAGTGAGAGACGGAAAAGCCAGGATTCGAGTGCAAGACGAAGAAATCAACGCATTGAAGAGCAAAAACTCTGACCTCGAAAACCAAATGTGGATTTATTTGGAAACTCTTGTCGACTGAGATTTGAGAAAATATTTTTTTGACTCCCAAAACACCCATTACACTTAATACAATCAATTTCTCTCTAGACAATTTGAAAAAGCAAACAAGACGGCCGAAATTGTGAAGTTGCAGGCAGATTTGTGAGTTTTTTTAAGGAAAAGGACTGAGTGTTCGTTTAAAAAGACGAAAATGTGGGTGAAATGAACAAATCTGGAAGAATTTAAACTCATCTTTTTCAATCAATGTGAACAAAGGGAAAGAAGTGATGAATTCACGAAGATCAACTCGAAAATCTCGCAAAGTGATGATCGATCGACGAAGATTGGTGCTGATTTGCGAGGCGAGATGTGAGTTTTGAGTTCCTTTAAAGAAATCCCTGAGAATGGAACACTTCTAGAGATTCCAAAGTCGCCAAAATGTCAAGGACCATCTCCACGAAAATGGCCCAAATTGAGGCGGATTTAATGGGGAAAATCATGAAGTTGGAGGCTGATTTGTGGGTTCAACAATATTAGAATCTAACGATCTCCTGTAGACTGAGACTTGAGAAAACAGTTTTTTTTTGGCTCGCAAAACACCCATTCCAATCCATCCAATCAATTCCTTTCTAGACAATTTGAAAGGGAAAACAAAACGGCCGAAAAGTTGCAGGCAGATTTGTGAGTTTTTTTAAAGAAAAGGATTGAGTATTGATCTTAAAAATTTGGAGTAAAGTTCTTGGAAGAAATTCAGAAATCGAACAATGAATTTCTTGGAATTGGAAACTGGATGGTCGTATTTGGCAAAAACCGCTTCCTGGTACAAGGTTTGATGGATGTTGTGAACCAGGATCATATTCATCTCAAGGCTTTCGATCAAGAAATGACATTCGATGAAGCCGAGGCATATTGTGCAGACCAAATGGGCCATTTAGTCTCCATTCACAGTCAGGAAGAGAACGATTTTGTTCGGAAACTCGGTAAGAAATCGAAATGATTCAATTCTGAAAATTCATGATTTTCGTAGAAATTTATGCTTTATAAACCAAAAACAACCGATATTTATTTCAGCGAAAACTGTTGATTCGAATCGGTCGTTCTGGATCGGACTGAAGGTTGAAGTTTTCTTATTGAAAGACATAAATAAAGAGAAAGTGATAATTCTTTCATCCATTTTCGGAAGGCTCTTTTTGAAGAAATGTTTCGTTTGACTGATAGTTCTTTGATAGAAATAATGGTTTAAGGATAATAAGAAAGGAAAATCGGATCGAAATATCAATGTCTAAACATAAAATTTCTTTATTCAGAGAAATCCGAACAAAAGAGATGCTTTGGAATGGACGGATGGAAGTTCGGTGGATTTCATTAATTGGCATCGGGGACAACCTGATTCGGACACCCACGCTGCGGTGAGATTTTTAACGTGAAATCATCAATATTTATTCCAATTTCCAATGCATAATTAACCCCGAAATAATTCGATCAATCTTAGGAAACTTCTTTGTGTAAAATCAGCAAAATTGTTTTAAGAAAGGAATACCATCAGAAATGAACACATTTCAGCTTTGGAACGACGATGGGAAATGGAGGCTCTATTCTCCTACCTATCAGTTTGGTCTTATCTGCAAAAGGAGCTCTCAATTCTGATAAATGCTTTTTTTTCTTCTCTGTAGACAAAAACCAATAAATCCATTTTATTCGTTTAGATGAAAACACACAACTGCACATTATCTGTTTCTTTATTTCTGAATTGTTTGTTCAAAATCTCATATAAAGTTCTCCCAAAAACCCAGAATTCCGCCTGAAGCTGCAACTATTTTGCTCTCTCGTCGCTCCTGAATAGACTATTAGATAAACGTGTTGAACATCAATGGACATCAGCATGAGGAAACTGACAATTCTTCGTGAAGGTCGCTCTTCTCGTCCCTCAACTCGTCGATTTGTCTTCGATTTTCGGATTTCTCTGAATAAAGAAATTTTTATGTTTAGAGATTGATATTTCGATCCGACTTTTCTTTTTTATTATTGAAATTATTCTATTGGGTTGGCGAATTGAAAACTGCCGGCTATTGTCATATGTGACAATTTGAGCAATTTCTTCAAAACAAACCCATTTTGGTGTCAATGGAAAAGTTGTAGAGAATCAAAACTGAAGCTTATATCCAGATTTTCAGAACGAATCAAAAACTGGTTTTCAAATTTTCAAACCGATGACTGAAGTCATTGGTGCTTTCCCTCTTCACAACTCCTTTAGCCATCTATTCCGCTGCAACCAACGATAAATTAACACTTCCAATCAGGTAATGATTTTCTTGTTGAACGGATTTCTTTCTTTCAGACTACTTGGAATCGCTGAAAACTTCAATAAGCCTCTCAATGCAGTGACGGTCAGAATTTCTTGATATTGCTCAGTGATGCCAGAGTTTCAGTAAGTAAATGATGAGTTGCTCTTTTAATAAACTGTCCTTTACAATATCAAGTACTAAACCTAATATTTAGCTGTCCTTATAAAATGGTTCTTTGGCTTTCACAAATCAACTCGTTTTATATTATTCGTTATGGTGTCAGCGATATGTCTCAATATTGTCAATTTTGCATCTCGTTGAGGTTGGTCATGCGGTTACATGATTCTATTTACGGTTATTGGATCTAGTTTACAAGAAAAAGGGTATTCGAACTTGATACCGATCTAATTGTAAGAGAAAGTAGCTTGGGACCAATCTAATTGGAAACCAAAGCCAGCCAGCCAGCCTACTTTGCGCTAAATTTTTTGCGGAACTGGGCCTTTTCCCCAACTTGCATAACTTGCATAAATTCGGCGCAAAGTAGTCACCCCCAAAACCAGCTTCAATACGCTTTTGCAAGTTTTAAGAGCAGGAAAAGAAAGCAAAGGGTACGGTAATTGGGTGTGGTTTAGAGTTTTACCCTGAGAAAACTGTAACTTTTGCATTACCTTTAAATGACGGAAACCCATCTGATGTTAACTATTGGGTTGGGGACTATGACTCGGCGGACAAAAGAAAGGCAAATTTATTGAACATAAAACCATGAATTCATTCGAAATAATTTCCATTATTATTGACGACTTCTGCCCATTTTAGAGGCAATTTGCGGATTCCTCTTTCGTAGTAGGATTTTGGTTTGTGTGTGAGACAAGTGTGAGACTCAAAAATGGAGGACTGGAGATGTCCCAGTTTGAGCACTTTCTTCAAAAGAAACCCATTTTGGTGTTAATGGAA